TTCTTCTTCTTCTTCTTCTTCTTCTTCTTCTTCTTCTTCTTCTTCTTCTTCTTTTTCTTCTTCTTCTTCTTCTTCATCATCTTCTTCTTCATCATCTTCTTCTTCTTCTTCTAGGCGATCATGGACCTCTTCTTTACTCTGTCTTGCGTTACAGCGATGGTGTCTGTCGTTCTTGCTGTTCCCAGCCATGTTGTCAACCTGTCCAGTATCTTTTCGCTCTGTTCGCCCCTGCCTCTCTTTCCATTAAACTCGCCTGTTATTGCAGTACAGTATTCTCCAATGCTTTTTTTCCGCATTGTGTGTTCTATGAATTTGCCTGTTGCTTTCGTATATTTGTCATAAGTTGTCGCATGCTATATATATATATGTGTGTGTACTAGCTGGGACCCTTTCGTTGAAAGGAATGATCGGTGCATTAACATCAACTGAAAGTCATTGGTCTACTATATTTACACTCTACTGGAATGGAGCAATAAATCCTGAGATGCAAAATATTAGGTTTAGGGATGTATAGATTGATTCTCTATTCCGCTTTTGTGGTTGTACACTCCAGAATTTCAAAGGTGTGGAAACAGTCCATACGGCTATTGAACGGAAACCTCACTTTGTCTTAGAAGACAGATTTTCTCAAGATTAGATCTAAACGAAATTAATGAAAAAACTGAAAATTAAACTACAGTGACTTCAGGCTACTCAATAGAACTGTGCACCCTTTATATGATTCTGAACCATCATTAATTTTGTCAGATTCGAAAGTTAAGTGGTTCGAAAGTTTTAGGTGGCCAAAGAGACGAACTTTCACAAATATAGAATCTAGTAATGTATAGATATAATCTATTATCTATTTGTGTTGGCCGAATTTTGCTACTCAAAAGTTTTTTAATGGCTACATCGATTGACATGCGGTTTTCGCCAAAAGATTCTTTAAAATATTCTCCAGATCACGACGCCCTTCGTTTTTCCAGTTTTGAGACAGTTTTGCTGCAAAAAAGCTAAATTTCTTTGTTTCGCTGATCGCTTCTGTCTCTGTAATTTTAGAAAATCCGGAAGTGACATTTTGCGAGGCGCATTTTGTTTTGAGAGTATAGATCTAGACCTTCTAATTTTTTGCATCTCTCAAGATTTATTGCCCCATTCCAGTAGAGTGTAAATATAGTAGGCCAATGACTTTTAGCTGATATTAAAGCACCGATCATTCCTTTCATCGAAAGGGGGCACAGCTAGTAAAATCATATCTATAGAGACATCCCCCGACCGCTCACCTGATCAGAGCACCAGTACCACACGGAGGAGATGGTGAGTCCGATGAAGACTCCTGGCCAGGGCAGGTCCCCGTCGTCTGCCGGCCGGATCAGGTTGTAGGAGTTGCTGGGTGGGATGCCGCAGTCGGTGTAGGAGTAGTTCTCGTCGTTCATGTGCGCCAGCGTGGTGTTGGGGTAGGCAGACATGTAGCGGTGCTGCAGCTCTTCGTAGCCGCCGACCTTGTTGAAGCCTGCCGCGGTTGGTGGTGATTGGTGTGGATGCAAATGGAATCCGGGGTGGGGATGGG